AGTAATCCTGCTCTCAGACATTTACACTTAAACAACTGGCTCTCCTGGGGCTCAACCTTGAAGAGATGCATCTTTCATGTGATGTCTCTGTCTTGATTTTATAACCAAACACAAGGGTGTGCCCCCCCTTTTTTTTTTGGACTGGGGATGAAACTCTCTAACTTGGGTCCTTGCCCTTGGGAGGCAGATGGGTGGAACCACTGAGTTAAATCCCTGGCCCAGGATGTGTGCATTTTGATGAGTGCAATGTCATTAAGCCTAACCAGGAGATAGAAGACTGGAGAGAGTATTACTGCTTTCAGCAAGTAAAGATAGCATTGGCACTAATTCTCAAAGCAGTGTTATCCCAGAACAAAGAAAAAAAAATGAGGGGGTTTTGTTGAAGAAATTTATTCTTAAAAAAGACTCATCACATGTAGAAAAGAGCATATTACTGAGCATGCTCAGTTCAAGGTCATAGATCACATATTCAAAAATAAAAAGGTGAACATGATTGCCTCAAGATGGAGAATTCAGGATTGTAAGGAATAAAGATTACTGTAGGTCACCCAAAAATGATGAGTCAGAGTGACTCAGCAATTTTGACTGGCATCCTTAAGTGGCTTCCAAGAATTTTAACTATAACAAAAAACAATTTTGAAGGTGCAATAAAAGTTATTTAATGGGCAGTTTTTCTCCCTATAGAAACTTGCTCCTAAAGTGTTGCAGTTATAGTGTCAGAATAATAATGATCTCATAGAATGAATTAGGAAGTGTTTCTTCCTGTTCTAGAAAAAGAGTTTGTATTTAATTGGTAGTAAATCATTTTTAAAAGATAGGAGGATTTCAGCAATGCAGCCATCAAGGCCTGGGTTTTTGTTTTTCGAAATTTGTAAAATTTATTATCTTTACTTGTTATGGGTCTATTCAGATTTTATATTTCTTAACTCAACTTCTGAAATTTGTATCTTTCTAGGAATTTGTCCATTTAATTGTGTAATCATTGGCATACAGTTATTTTTGGTATTCCATTTATCCTTTTTGTTTCTGTAGAGTCACTAGTACTGTGCTTCTTCAATTCCTGATTTTAATAATGTAATAATTAAATTACAATAATTTAATAATGTCACTGTCATAAAGAATCCACTTGTCAGAAAAACAGGCTTTTGAAAGGAAAGTTTATTCCAGTAAACAGAGACTAAAATCAGGAGATTCTTGCAGCTAGCTGGGAAAAGCTGAGTTTATCACATCTGTGTGTGGATAGGCTGACAATAGGAGCAAGATAGTGGGAGAGATTTTATTGGTGAGAGGATGGGCTAACACCCGGGGAGAGAGATATTAGCAACTAACTGGGAAAGGAATTAGGCTTATATAGGTTTTGAAGGGGCTAAGGAACCTGGGGTGAAATATTTATGATTTGGTTGCCCTAGGACCTCTGGTCAGCTGTGTACACAATTACCCAGGCTAGCCTCAAACTCCTAAGCTCAGGCTATCTTCCTTCCTCAGCCTCCTGAGTAACTGGGACCACTATGCCCAGCTCCCCAAAGAACCAACTTTGGTTTTGTTGATTTTCATTTTTCCTCTGTACTAAAGACTGAACCCAGGGGCTTTGGCCTAAATTATATATCCTTCCCTTTTAAAAATGTTTTATTTTGAGACAGGATCTCCCTAAATTGCTAAATTGCCTGAGCTGGGCTCAAACCTACAATCCTCCTGCTTCATCTTCCAGAGTGCTAGGATTACAGGTGTGTGTCACTCCAAGTGTATTAATTTTATATTGTCTGTTTCATTAATTTCTACTATTCCTTGTGTAACCAGCTCTCTCCTCTGAGTTGTTTTAAGGTGTGTTAGTTACTTTCCTCTTGCTGAGACAAAATAACTGGCACCAAAAGTTAGAGAGGAAGGCTCTTTTTTTTTTTTTGGTACCAGGGATTGAACTCGGGTCCTCATACTTGCGAGGCAGGCGACAGAACCACTGAGCTAAATCCCTGGCCCTAGGAAGGCTTTTATTTGGCTTATACTTTGTAGTGGTTTCAATCCATATTCGGAAGGAGCAGATTCCAGATTCAACTACCTCTGAAAAATAAAAGTTCCACCTCACCTGTATGAGGCTTTGGGGGGACATCTAACCACAAACCATAACATGAGGTGACAAGGACATGACAACAGCAAGCAGTGGGTAACAAACTGGACCCATTGTTGATTTTTTGTAATATTCCTGTACAGTTAGGGTTTTGTTCATAAAGTCTTTGGTTACATCTATGTCTTCTAGAGTTTGAACTATTCTAGCAGATTAACTATTTCTGTTTTTGTATTTAGATCTTTTATCCATTTCGATTTTAGTTTAGTGCATGGTGAGAGATACTGTTCTAGGCTCAATTTTCAGCATGTAAAAAGCTATTTTTTTCCAAGCATCATTGATTAAAGGAGCTGTCTTCCAGTGAAGGTGTTTGGCCCCTTTGTCAAAGATAAGGTAGCTGAGTATGCATGGAGTTGTCTGCATCTTCTATTATGTTCCATTGATTCTTAAATTTTTTTTTTTACAGTACCATGCTATTTTTATCATGGTAGCTTTGTAGTATAACCTCAAATTAGGGATTGTGATGCCCTCTTCCTGGCCTTTGTTGCCCAGAATTGCTTTTGCTAGTCTAGATCTCTTCTGGTTACATAGGAAATTTAGGATTTTTTTTTTCTTCTGTGGCTATGGGTTGTAACTGGGATTGCATTATCTTTGTGTAAATTTTGGAAGTATGGCCATTTTTACTATATTGGTTCTGCCTACTTAAGTACAGGAGATATCTTTCCATGTTCTGATGTCCTCTTGGACCTCCTTTTTCAGAGTACTGTAGTTTTCAGTGCATAGGTCTTTCACTTCCTTTGTTAGATTGATTCTTGTTATGGCTTGTATCTAGATGTCCCTCTAAAACCTCATGCAGTCATAGATGGGACTTTTTCAGAGATGGCTGGATCTAGAGTATGTGATGCTGGGATTGATTCATACTGTAGTACTAGCATCAAAGGCCCTAGGTTTAAGGGTGTAGTGCTACCCAGCCTAAGTAACCTGGAAAAGATATAAGGGATAGAAAGCTTGTGCTTTGTTTTTTGTTGCTTTGCTACCATTTGTCTGCCATAAACTGTCTCTTCTCTGCCATCCCACCCTGCCCTGGAGCCACCCAACTATGGATTGAAACCTCTGCAAACTGTGAGCCAAATAAACCTTTCCTCCTTTAACTGGGTATTTTTTGTCAGCAATAAAAAAGTAACAAAGACAATTCCTATTTCATTTTCTTGATGCTGTTCTGAAAGGTGTTGTTTCCCTAATTTCTCTCTCAGTGAGTTTGGTATTTGTGTACAGGAATGCTATTGATCTTTGAGTTGTTGACATTGTATCCTGCTACACTGCTGAATTTGGCTATTCTAGAAGTCTTTTGGTGGAGCTTTTGAGGTCTTCTATATAGAGTATCATGTCATCAGCAAATAATGATAATTTAACTTCTTTCCTATCCATATTCCTTTTACAGTGGTATCTTGGTTCATGAACATAATTTGTTTTACAATTTTGGGGAAGATGGCTGTGTTTGTGTTTGTGTGGCAAAGATGGCTACAGTTGTATTTATTACCTAATAGAGAGTTTGTGAACAGAAGCAAAATTCTGTTGAATGATTTTGTTTGAGAACCAAATTGTTTGCAAATAGAAGTGTCTGTGACCCAAGGTATTAATGTATTTCTTTCTCTTGTCTAATTGTTCTGGCTAATGTTTTCAGAACTATATTGAACAGGAGTGGTGATAGTGGATATCCTTGTCCTGATTTCAGAATGAAAACTTCCAGTTTTTGTTCATTTAGTGTGATGTTGGCTATTGGTTTGTCATAGATGGCTTTTATCAGATTGAGTAAAGATCTTCTATTCCAGTTTTCTGTAGGGCTTTTGTCATGAATGGGTGTTAAACTTTGTCGAATACTTTTTCTATGTCTATTAATATGATCAGGTTTTTTTTGTTGGTACTGTTAATGTGGTGTATTACATTTATTTTGTGTATGAACCATCCTTGCATCCCTGGGATGAATCTTCCTTGGTCATGATGTATAATCTTAATGATTTGCTGCCTTCCTTTTGCCAAAATTATATTGAGGATTCTTGCATCTATGTTTATTAAGGAGATTGACCTGTAATTCTGTTTTTGGTTGGATCCTTCTCTGGTTTTGCTATCAGGGTAATGCTTGCTTCCAGGAATGACTTTTGAGAGTATTGCTTCACTTTCAATTTCATTGAAGAATTGGAGGAGGAGTAGTATTAGATCTTCTCTAAATTTGTTGTAGAATTCAGCAGTGAAATCATCAGGACCTAGGCTTTTCTTTATTGATAGTTTTATTATTATTATTATTATTACTATTATTATTACTTCTTCAATTTGATTGACTGATACTGGGTTATTTAGAATTTTTATATCTTATCGATTCAGCTTGATAATTCATATGACTCTAGCAATCTGTCCATTTCTTCTGAGTTTTCCATCTTATTAGAGTACAGGTTCTCAAAGTAGGTATTAATGATCTTTTGATTTCTGCAGGATCTTATTGTGATTTTGCCCTTTTCCTTTCTAATTACATGGCTTTGGATCTTGTCTTTATTGTTATTATTATTATTTTTTTGTACTGGGGATTGAACTCTGGTCCTTGTGCTTGCAAGGCAGGTGGCAGCACCACTGAGGTAAACCCCCAAACCCTGGATGTTTTTGGGGGGCAGGGGGTACCAGAGAACTCTGGACCTTGTGCTTGCGAGGCAGGTGGTGGAACCACTGTGCTAAATCCCTAGCCCTTTTCTTTCCTTTTTTTGGGTTTTTTTGTTTTGTTTTGTTTTTTTGGTACCGGGGATCGAACTCAAGACCTTGCACTTGTGAGGCAGCCACAGCACCACTGAGCTAAATCCCCAGCTTTTTTTTTGTAAAGTTGACTAAGGTTATTTGGTTATTTGAAAGAATCAACTCTTTGATTCATTGATTTTTTTTTTTTTTTCCCCAGTACCGGGGCTCCAACTCAAGACCTTATCTTTGCAAGGTAGGTGTGGTGCCACTGAACTAAATCCCTGACCTGGGGTTGTTCTCTTTACAAGTATGTAGTGACCATCTTTGTCTCTTCTGATCAGTCTTGGCTTGAAGTCCAGTTTGTCTGTAAATAGAATAGTTATTCCTGATTTTTCCCAGTGTGGAGTATTGATCTCCATCCTTAGATTTTCAGTATGTGAATTTCTTTTTGAGTTAAATGTGTTTCTTGGGGCCAGGGATTTAGCTCAATGGTTCCGCTGCCTGCTTTGCAAGTACAAAGATCTGGGTTCAATCCCTGGTACCAAAACAAAACAAAAACACACAAATGTGTTTTTTGTATACAGCATATTGTTGAATGTTGTTTCTTGATCCATTCTGCCAGTCTCTTTCTTTTGATTGGTGAGTTTAGACCATTCACATTGATGGTTACAACTGATATGTACTGACTTATCCTTGTCATATTATCTTCCTGTTGTTGGTTCCCTTTCTTTCCCTTCTCAAAAGCATTTTTCTGCCTGTTCGGTGTAGCACCTAGTTCTTTGGTACTGGACTATAGTATTATTTATGACCCCCCCCAGACAATGTAGGTATTAACCTTCAAGGACTAGCAGTTGATTTTGACAAAGATGTTACCTTGGCTAAAGTAGTAGAATTTGTTATAACAATAGCATCAAACACAGTGCTCGGTTCAGCAGCATATATGACAATAGCATCAAACACAGACTAGAAAATGACAAACTGTGATAACTATTAATTTGCCAATTTTAACCATTGGTTCAAAATTTATAGTTATATAACAAGCTATAAGACAGATCAGAAAACTATAACAGAGTGATTTGACCATAAGGGAAGAAAATTTAAAATGGATAAGAGGGAAAAATATTGAAAAATATTATATTTTTTTCCTTTTTTAGTTTTTTTCCCTCCAGTGCTGGGGATTGAACTCAGGACCTTGCACTTACCAGGCAGAATGTGGTGCCTTTGAGCTACATCCCCAGCCCCAAAAATAGAAAAATAAAAGAAGAGAAATTAGAAGCAAGGCTGAAGGACAAAGGAAGATTTCTCAAGACTTCAGAAATTGGTGAAGAAGACAGGAGGGAAAGAAAGAAGGAAAAAAAAAACCCAACTGAAAACAGTGTTCACACTTAAGAAAAAGCAAAAACAATTTAAAAATGAACAACAACAAAATCCAAAAGCAAAGAAAAAGAAAGAGAAATTCCTCTGTAATTTCAAGCCTGTGGTTATCTTCTGAGGTCCAGTTCTGGGTATAATTCTGCTCTTTTTTTTTTGGTACTGGGGATTGAATTTAGGACCTTGAGCTTGCAAGGCAGGCACTATGCCACCTTTTTTTTTTTTTTTTTTTTTTTTTTTTTAAGAGAGTAGGAAAATTTTATTGAGAAAGATAGCTTTTGTCTGAGACAGAAGGGGGACCATAAAATGGGTTATCCTGTAACTGTTCTTGCTGGTAGACGAGAGGCAATCAGAGCCTAAATCCATGCTAAATAATCCCAGCTAGCCTACAGTAGGTTAGGGTTGGGTACTGGATAATCCTAGCAAGCCTATAGTTGGATTAGGGCAGGGTGCTGGTTCTGGCACTTTTTTTTTTTTTTTTTTTTGTACCAGGGACTGAATTCAGAACCCTGTGCTTGCAAGGCAGGCAACAGCACTGAGGTTCTGGCACTTTCGAATCTACAGAAGTTCAGGTCAGCCTGGCCTCTAGTTATGAAGTTGGGCCCTGAGATATTATAACACTTTGGGTATCTCTTGGGGGCCTGATCACGACCCTGAACATTTGCCCTTGTCTGTTACCCAGTCACTGTGGGGTTTTAACATTACGAGCCCTGAGAGGGAGACAACCCATGGACGCTCTAAGTCCCAGGTTCATTTGGCTCCTCCCTAAAATGATGTCTGACCAAGCACTGTCTCCAGAGAACACTGAAATTGCTTAAACTGAAGTTATCAGCTGTTGTAGCACTCAGCATCCACTGTTCCATTTCACTGGTGGATTTTTCCCTGGAGGCCTCTAGAGTCACCTGCCCTCACTGAGTCTCTGTAGATTCCATCCTTCTCTTTCATGCCACAAGCCAGGAGCTGGGGAGAAAGTGCAAATTCCCCCCTCCTTTTCTGCATTGAGGTCTGTCTCTGCACTTTCTGTGTGGGCTCTTGATTTTGCCTTCAGATCCTTCCTGAGTCCTGGGGACCCACCTCCCTCCTTTTCTTCCCTAAGTTGTTATTTTCGAGTATCTAGATCCTGAATCTTGGAGAGTTTGATTTGTTGCTATTTACCGCTGTGCCATTTTCCAACAGAAATCCTTTAATCTATCTTGGATTGATATTTTTGTATAGTGCAAGTCTTAATTTCTTTCTTCTGCCTGTGGATATTGCTTTCTCAGTATTATCTTTTAGAGAAACTGTCTTTTCCTCATTGTATGCTGCTGGTATCTATTGAAAATCAGTTGTAAGTCCATAGATTTCTTTTTGGCTCTGTATTCTATTCCATAGGCCTGTGTTTTCTGTCAGTACCATGCTGTTTTGACTACTGTAATCTCATTTCAGAACATTACTGTTAGTTTTTATTTGTTTATTTTTGAGGTACTAGGAATACAACCCAAGGTCTTGGTCTTCCTAGACTAGCTTTATTACTATACTACATCCCCAGCCATACTTACCTACCCCTCCTTTTCTTCCTCTAATACTGGTGATAGAATCTGGAGCATTTGCACTGTTACTATCTCTACAGCCCTTTTTATTTATATTTTGACATAGGGTCTTGCTAAGTTGCCTAGGCTGGCCTTGAACTTGTGACAAGCCTTCCAGAATGTTTGGATTATAGGCATGTGCCTAGCTTTAAATTCCTTTTTAATTGGACTTCATTAGTTGTTAGAGAAATGTGTTATTTTTCAAATTTAAAAAGTTAATGGAGAAGTTAATATACATTTTATTTATTTGAGTAACACTTTAACATTACTTATATACTTTTCTTTTAGTCACTGAGTAAATTAGTAAACTGTGGCTCAGAACCCAACACAATTGTCTTAATCAATTTGTTCTTTTTTTTAGCGTTGTAAGATGAATGAAGATACGGGCACTGATTATATAGCACCTTGGCAGCTGTCTCAGGTGGCTGATGGTGGAGGTATTGGCGTTATAGAAGAAAGCAAGCATGCACATTTGACTAAAGGCGATTTTGTGACTTCTTTCTATTGGCCTTGGCAAACCAGGGCTATTCTGGATGGAAATAACCTTGAAAAGGTGATATATAAAATAAAAGCATCTGGTTGTTCCCCTCTATAATATTTATTTTCTACATTTGATATTTTGTTTGTTATCAGGGAAAAAAGGCAAAAACATACGTTTTCTTTTAGCTAGGTGCCAAAATGTAGAGAGCCTTTGTTCCTTCTCCACTGTTGGCTATGACTATATGTGACAATTTGTAGATTGCCAAAGATTGTTGTCATTTTCCATTTTTTTGTTCCTCAAATAATATATGTAATAAAAAGTACTAGAATTTCCCCTATAGCCAGGCATACTATCACACACCTGAAATCCCAGCACTCTGAGAGGCTGAGCCAGGAGAATCACAAGTTCTAGCCCACTAAATTTAGCAATTTAGTGGAACTCTCTTTCAAAATATGCAGAAATAAGAGGGCTGCGGATTTAACTCAGTGGTTCCAGAGCCTGCCTCGTAAAATATACAGAAATAGCTGGGTGTAGTGGCACACACCTGTAATCCCAGCACTTGGGAGGCTGAGGCAGGAGGATTGCTGTGAATTCAAGACCAGCCTGGGCTACATAGTTCCAGGTCAGTCTCAACTACATAGTGAGACCCTGTCTCAACACCGCCCACCCCAAAAATACAGAAATAAAAACTTTAAAAAGTCCTGGGATATAGCTCAGTGCAGAGTTTAATCCACAGTATCACCAAAAAAGACAAAAAAAAGGTCTCCCTATAATTGTATACATGAAATTTTCTTGAGAAATAGCTGCCTAAGAAATTTAATTTGCTTTATGATTGAAATCCCATCTCATATTAGAAATGCAGAGTTCACTTCAGCTCTTAGATTGAACTATGTGAAATTGCCAGTATTTCCTTTGACCTAAAAAAAAAAGGTAGCTTCATGTTAATTCTGCTTAATATGTTACGGAAATTACTCTATGTCTCTATACCAGTTTCTTAACAGTGCAAAATGAAAATGATAGTTATCTCATAAGCAGATGTGAAAATTAAATGTTATTAAATGTTTCTGTTTCATAAAAAGCTTTATATAATTTAAATAGGTTTTTTTTTTGGTACTGGGGATTGAACTCAGGACCTTGTACTTGCGAGGCAGGCAGTGGCACCACTGAGCTAAACCCCCGGCTCCTCCTTTTTTATTTTTTATTTTTTTTTTGGTACCGGGGATTGAACTCAGGTCCTTGTGCTTGCAAGGCAGGCCACCAAACCGCTGAGCTAAATCCCCGGCTCCCGGCTCCTCCTTTTTTATTTAAATATTTTTATTATTAAAAATTTTTAGGGCTGGGGATTTAGCTCAGCGGTGCTGCTGCTTGCCTCGCAAGCGCAAGGTCCCAAGTTTAATCCCTGGTACCAAAATACAAAAAACAAACAAAATTGTTTCTGGGGATTTAGCTCAGGGGTGCTGTTGCCTGCCTCACAAGCCCAAGGTCCTGAGTTTGATCCCTGATACCAAAAAAAAAAAAAAATCTTAACCAGTTTCAAAAAGTTGCTAATAGCAAAATGGAATCACTGACATCAAACCCTAACAAAATGGAGCTGGGAGGCCATGAAAGAAGGGCCCTAATCAACATATGCCAATGACAAGAACTAGTACAAGGATTCTGAAAACCACAGCCTGTACAAAAGCCGCTATAGCCTTGCATAAATATTTCTTCTACAGAAGAGATGCCTATTCATCAATTTATTCCAACAATGGACTGATGCCAGCCACCTTTATTAACCCTGTAATGGGGAATAATTGTTTCAAAACAACTAATGCAACTTTCCTCATTTTGTCTTTAAAAATACTTGCATTCCTTTGCCTCTCACAGTTTGTCATGCCTTGGGTATCTTAGATATGTTACTGCATAAATTGTTTCTGGATAGCTATTCTGTCGCTCAAGTTATGTTAAAAGTGGCTAAGATACAGATGTTAAGTGGGAGATGTTACACAATTTGTCAACTTAATGTTTCTAATAAAATAGATTTAACTAAAAATTTCTTAATAGAAAATTTAAAAAGAAATATATTCAGCACTAATGTTCTGCCTGTAGTTTTTTTTATGCCATAGTAAGCTCAGGTGGCTTTTGTTTCCAGTTTCGGACTTGAAGCTCTTTAAAAACCTTGGAATTTCCTGTGTGATAGGAGTTTCCCGTGTGATGACAAGCCTTTCCATCATACCTGAGTTTATGTTGATGAGGTAACAGTGTGGGGCACTTAGCCTCAGAATGTGCTGGTCAGCAGAAACACCAACTGAGTAGAAGTGGGTAGGAGAGTAAGTTGTATAACAATTCTTAAAGTATGAGATTTGATGAATTTTTGGATCACTGAACACATCCAGGTGCCTGGAAGGTGTACCCAACTCCAGAAGGACAGAAGCTCCTGTTCTTGGGACCCTTCTGGACCTAACCCTGTGTATCTCTTCACTTGGCTTTTCATTTATGTACTTTTACATATTTTTATAATAAACCAGGAAACATAATATAAAGTTTTTCCCTGAATCCTGTGAGTCATTCTAGCAAAGTACCAAACATGAGGAAGGAATGGGAATCTCTGATTTATAGCCAATGAATCAGAAGTATAAGAGGCCTAGACTCGCAAGTGGTATCTGAAGTGGGAGTAGGCTCGAGGCATTGAGACTGTAAATTCTGGGATCTTGGGACAGCAAGGTTAGGCAGGACTTTGAAGTAGCCTCCTGGTAGAAGCAAATAGGTGCACTTTTGGTGCGGAGGAGGAAAGCAAATGGTTAATCAAATGGGCAAGCTACTGTACCTGTGAGATACGGAAACAGGATGCTCAGGCAAACTGGATGAGACCCCCCATAAAAGTAAAGGGTCTCCCTTGTTTGGTGCTACTCCTCTTAATAGAACATCCTACCTTGCTGCCCTTTCCTGGTCTGTTCTCGTGGAGCATCCAGTTTTGTTCTTTCCTGAGCTACTGTGCCTTCACAGGGTAGTTCTTTCCTGTAATAAACTTTCATTTTACTTTTGCTTTAGAACTATTCCATGTCTGATTTCCATCTTACACAAGAAAAGGGCCCAGTGTGATGGCAACAATCTGACATTAACCTGAACTGAATTGAATTTTAGGATGCCTAGTTAGTGAGAACTCAGTACTGTGGGAAAAATCCCCTCTATGCCTTCAAGAGTTCCATGTAAGCTGGGTGTAGTGGCGCATGCCTGTAATCCCAGCACTCAGGAAGCTGAGGCAGGAGGATTGCTGTGAGTCGACCAGCCTGGGCTACATAGTGAGTTCCAGGTCAGTCTCAACTACATAGTGAGACCCTGTCTCAAACAAACAAACAAACAAACAAACAAAAAAGTCATGTGAGTGTGGAGAAACTCTTATAGTGCTATGGTGAGAAACTGAGCAGTCAAGACAACTTGAACATGCTTTGGGAATAGATACTAGAAAAGAGAGGAATTCAGAAGGGATAGGGAAATGGCGCTTGCTCAATTCAAACATCTCACAGTGCTTTTATATTGACTTTAATAAGCAACTATTATAATTCATGAAATATTTGTGTATTACAGACTTTGTTGTATATTATACACTTTCATGTCTTACCTTTATCCATATACAAGATTTAACTGATTGCCATTTAAAACTACTGAATACAAACTGCCCATATTACTTCTTGTTTTTGTTTTTGTTTTTTTTGAGACGGTCTCACTATGTAGTGGAGACTGACGTGGAACTCACTGTGTAGCCCAGGCTGGTCTCGAACTCACAGTAATGCTCCTGCCTCAGCCTCCTGAGTGCTGGGATTATAGGCATGCACCACCATGCTCAGCTTATATATATTTTTTATGAATAAATTTTATTTTATTCCATTCCCCCCAGCCCCTCCCTTCCCTATGTACAAAAGCTTTGTTTCCATTTTTTCCTCCTATTTTCACGTTTCTTGTCCCTTCTTTTCTGCCTCCCTCGTCCTTTGTTCCCCTTCCCATTTGAACACTTTCTTCCCATTTTCCAACATCCATTATACATCTTAGTCCTTGTTTCCACATTGTTTCTCACTTCAGAAAAACAATATGGTATTTAAATGTGTCTAGTTTATTTCATTTAAGAGAGTATGGTCTCAAGGTTCATCCACTTAGCTATAAATGTCTGAAGTCCTCCTTTGTGGCGGAGTAGTACCCCATATCTTTTAAAGATAGGGTCTCCTATGTTGCCTATGCTGGTCTTGAACTCATAGGCTCAAGCATTTCTCCTGCTTCATCTTCCTAAGTACCTGGAAATACAAGAATGTGCCTTGAGTTGACTTTTATAGATAAATATTTACCTTCAATTGCTCAGAGATTTAAAAATTTTCCAGCCAGCTGTGGTGGCATATGCCTATAATCCCAGCACTTGGGAGGCTGAGGCAGGTAGATTGCCGAGTTCAAGGCCAGCTTAGGCTACAGTGTGCTCAAGGTGAACCTCAACTATTTAGTAAAACCCTGTCTCAAAAAACAAACATTCAAGAAACAAACCAAAAAGAAAAACAAAGAACCTTTTCAACTTTGCCTAGTATTTTCCTAATAATCATTTCTTGTCTTTTGATATACATAGGACATTGAGGTGAACTAATATTAATTTTTTAAATTTAGGAATTATTTTTTCAAGTTTTAAAATATAAAGGGAATAATAATTATGTTTTACTCTTTATAAATAGATTACAGAATTTTAACAAGACTGAAGGATAATTTGTTGTTCTAGAAAACCATTATTTGGTTATTAGTCTGCTTGGTCCACCATAACAGTATCACAGGCTGAGTAGCTTTGCTATCAGATACTTATTTTCTCTTTTGGAAGCTAGAAAGAGAGGTTTTTCTTCCTGGTGTGCAGATAGATGCCTTCTCACTATATCCTCAAGGTCTTTTGGGGGGGTGTGTGCCTCATGTTTCTTCTAAGGGTACAAGTCCTATTGGTTTAGGGCACCACTTTTATGACCTCATTTTTAACCTTAAGTATCTCCTTAAACTCCTTATCCAGTACAGTTAAATTGAGGCTTAGGGCTTTAAGATATCAACTTGGGGGTAGGGAATGCAATTTAGACCTTAACAGGTAGTCTCTACTTTGCTGCCTTAAAGTAGGAATTGTAAATATTATATTAAAAAGGTGTATATTTTATTTTAGGTAGACCCAAAACTTGTGGATGGACACCTTTCATATTTTCTTGGAGCTATAGGTATGCCTGGTTTGACTTCCTTGATTGGGATACAGGAGAAAGGTCATATAATTGCTGGATCTAATCAGACAATGGTTGTCAGTGGAGCAGCAGGTGCCTGTGGATCCTTGGCTGGGCAGGTAAATGCTGAGAACTATTTGATTTTTCTTTTTTTCATTGAGTTTATTGGTACTTTTTAAGTATATAGTACAGTTACATTCATCATTGGGATCTTATACCTTTACATAACATCTTGGTTCTCATTTTTTCCCCATACCCCTGCCCTCCCTTCAATTAGTTGATTTTTTCTAAAAAAGTAGTCATTATGAATCTCTGGATGCATGTACTGTACTTAATTTAAAGTATGAAATTAAATAAATTTATAATTTCACACATTTCTAGTAAAAATGGTGTTATTACTTACTTGGTCTCTGTTAATAACAGTATGAAGAATATAGATTTTTGTGTTACTTTCTCTATTAGCCAAAAATAGATTTAGTAAATGCTGGAGCACTGTCATCCATGTAAGGATGAGAATCATAAAAACTTACTTGGAATTACAATTAAGTAAAAAAAACAAGTGGCTGAGCGCATAGCTAAGAGTACAACCTGTGCAAGCATGTATGAGGTCCAGGGTTCAATGGCCATTAACCCCCCCCCCAAACTCTTATTTATTTATTTTAGTTTTTTTAAGACAAGGTCTCACTATGTAGCACAGGCTAGTCTTGAACTCAGTATATAGCGCAGGCTGGCCTTGAACTCGTGGTAACCCTCCAGCGTCAGCCTTCTGAGTGTGCTAGGATTACAGGAATGCACCACCACGCACAGTATAAACTCATTTTAAAGAAATATCCTTAAGTAAGAAAGTATTTATTGGGCTGGAGATTTAGCTCAGTGGTTCTGCTACCTTCCTCGAAAATGCAACAACCCCACTTCCCTACCCGCTACCAAAAAAAAAAGAAAGAAAGAAGAGCTGTGCGTGGTGGTGCACGCCTGTAATCCCAGCACTCAGGAGGCTGAGGCAGGAGGATCGCTGTGAGTTTGAGAGCAGCCTGGGCTCCATAGTGAGTTCCAGGTCAGTCTCAACTACATAGTGAGACCCTGTCTCAAAAAAGAAAAGGAAAGAGAGAGAGAGAGAGAGAGAGAGAGCGAGCGAGCATATATTGACAGGTATGGTGGTGCCCACCTATGATACCCAAGTACTCTGGGAGGCTGAAGCAGAAGGACCCTAATTCAAGTCCAGCTTGGGCAATTTAGCAACCTGCTGAGACATGTCTCAAAATAAAAAATAAACAAAGGACTGAGGATATAACTCAGTGCAAGGGCAGTGGGTTCAATTCCTAGAACTTCCAAAAAATAAGAAAAAAAGCATTTATTGATTTTAGAAATGTAATATTTTCAAAGAACTTTACAAAGTACATTGTTTTATGAATAATAGCCTCAATAATGTAGAAACTGTTGAAGCAAAATTTTATTTTCATCCACATAGACCTAAAAATATTGAATTGTAAGACGTGATATTTGGGGTCTGATAATTCCTTTCATAAAATCAGATTTAAATCATGCATTTTTTTACCGAGTCTAATTTTATTTAGTTTCAAGCTTCTTAATGATGACACTGCCCTCATTTCTCTTGATTTCAAATTTTTTACCTAAAGCAGTGTAATCTACCTCAAGTGTAGTAAACACTCTCAACTGTTTGTAGTATCTTGTATATCTGCACACTTCTACATTTAAATGTGACAATATAAATATTTAATTCTGAGGAAATACCGAATAGTTTCTCTGGTGTAAAAAACTAAGTGCAAATAAGGTTCAAATGATATAAGTGATAATGCGAACTAGGAAGAAAAGGTCTAAAGGAGAAGGGGCAGTGGGAAGGATAGGGGAAAGGAAGTAAGGGAAAAGAAAAAATATGAAAAAGGAAAATGGTAACAATGTCTTTGCAAATAGGGAAGGGTGGAGGGGTGAAGGGAGAGCAGGGGAATGGGGAAAAATAAGAACCAAGATGCATCATGTAAAGGTACAAGATCCCAATGATGACTGTAACTATTGTTTACCTTAAATGTGCCAATAAACTTAATGGGAAAAAATAAACTAATTTAAATACTTTTCTTCCTAGATTGGCCATTTGCTGGGCTGTTCCAGAGTGGTGGGAATATGTGGAACACATGAGAAGTGCCTCTTTTTGACTTCAGAACTGGGCTTTGATGGTGCAATTAATTATAAAAAAGGGAACGTGGCAGAACAACTCCAAGAATCATGCCCAGCTGGAGTAGATGTTTACTTTGACAATGTTGGTGGTGACATCAGTGATACAGTGATAAGTCAGGTTGTTACCTGACTTGTTACAGATTTGAATACATCACTTTATTTGTTTGGATATCTTTTTACCTGATAAGGGGAAGATACTTTATAAAATTGTAGGATTTACTGTACTTATTGTATTTAAATGATACAAAACAAACTTGCTGATACTGTGTGTGTGTGTGTGTGTGTGTGTGTGTGTGTGTGGGTGTGGGTGGGTGTGTGTGGTACTGGGGATCAAACTCAGACAAGGCAGGCGCAATGCCACTGAACTAAATCCCCAGCCCTGATACTCCTTTCATTTGCTTGTGGAATTGTTTGTGAACTTCAGTATCGGTTCTTACCTAGCAATATATTTTCATCTTCAGTTTATTTTTGTGAATTACACTATAGTGGCCATAATCCCTCAGGAACACAAGTAACTCATTGAGATCCTGTCTCAAAATAAAGAAGTCTGGGGCCAGAGTTTTAGCTCAGTGGTTCTGCTGTCTGCCTCACAAGCACAAGGTCCCAAGTTCGATCCCCAGTACCAAAAAAAAAAAAGTCGGGTATGTAGCCAGTAGCATGTGTGAGACCCTTGCTTTAATCCCTAGTATTGAAAAAAAAATTTTAAAGATGCATTTTTAAAATGCTGAAGTTCTGACCCCTAACTCACTATCAACCACCTCACAGCCATGGTCCCTTACTTTGGGTAGGGAATGGGTTTTCATACAGTATGGGACTCATGTAGTTTTATTAATAATGTTATAAAATATCAACTATGAGCTATTAACTGTTAATTATTCCTTTCTTATATGTAAGATTATCTGCAGTTGAGGTTTTATTATTTAAATCCATTGCCAGGCGTGGTGGCACATACTTGTAATCCCAGAATGGGAGGCTGAGGCAGGAGGATTACTTGGAGTTCAAGGCCAGCCTGAACTACAGTGAAACCCTGTTTCAAAAGAGCTGGGCATGGTGGCACACGCCTGTGTAATCCCAGCACTCCGGAGGCTGAGGCAGGAGGATCACTGTACGTTTGAGACCAGCCTGGGCTACCTAGTTAGTTCCAGGTCAATCTCAACTACATAGTGAGACCCTGTCTCATCCCGCAAAAAAAATACCTCAAAACCCAAATACACCACCACTAATAAAAGTAACAATGACAACTAATGTAGTTCTTTTGTTGAGTACTGAACTTCTCATTTCTTTTGTATTCCTTTTTTAACAGAATTATTTCTAGCTAATTAAAACTTAAATAAATATAATGGGTAAATATTCAAAACCTCAGTTAATTGGCAATAACGGATTAAATATGATAGTCAAGGAGTCTGTCATTGAGACAGCCATAAAATAGGTAAAGAGGAAAGGCATCTATTTTAGAGTGTAATCCTCAGTTTTTCTCTGCACAGATGAATCAGAACAGCCACATCATCTTGTGTGGTCAGATTTCTCAGTACAATAAGGATGTGCCTTATCCTCCCCCACTCCTGCCCACTGTAGAGGCAATCCAGAAGGAAAGAAACATCACAAGGTGCGTTCTTTCTCTGCCTTTATCACTAGACATGGTGTTACATATCAGATGTATATGGACTGTGTTGTTCTTTATGTAAGATTTTCCTTATTAAGTAAAACCTGAATATAATTTTTATGCTGGTTCAATGTTTAGCTTTTGACTAGCTCCCTGAAAGAGATATTTTCTGGTTTTTACTAGCGTGGGTCAGATCAGGTGAGGGTGGAAAAAAGAAGTTATTTACAAAAGGAAAAACATTACAGTATGGTACTAGAGTCAAATGGGGTTACACTTGGCAGACATAAACAGCAGTCTATTATACTTACATTTGTCACTACACCTAAAACTGTGTTTGACCAGACTCAGTGTGATTAAATCCTAATATCTAAAGGACTTTTAAGATTAACACCAAATTCTTAAATGATTTGATCTTGGATTCTCCTGTCATATTCTGTGATCATTGTCCTGTTCTTCTCACTGCAGGGAGAGATTTCTGGTGTTAAATTATAAGGATAAATTTGAGCCTGGCATTCTACAGTTGAGTCAGTGGTTTAAAGAAGGAAAGCTAAAGGTAGTGTCTTCCTTTTCTTTTTTACCCCTCTCTTGGGAATGGAACCCAGGGCCTCATGCATACTATGCCAGGATTTGACCATTGAACTACATCCTCAGTCTTAGAGCTTACTTCTGTTGTTTTTCATTGTAATTCTTGTTACTCAGTGTACTTTTGCATTATTGGAACTTATTATAGTAAACAATGTTTCATTATACAAATTTTTCTACAAAAAGAAATATGTACTGAGTACATAAATTATTAATCTGTGATCCAGAGACCTAGACCTTGGATGCCATCAAAACCTGCAAGTGATAGTTTTTGTGTATGTGTTTATGTAAAATAAAAAAGTGGATCACTTTTGATGTTACTTATGGAAAATTAGACAATGGGAATTATTGGGTTTTATTGAAAAAATAATGGAACTTAAAAAAATTTTTATTAGTACATGCAGTTTACAACCACCTTGGGGAAATGTAGAACTCTTGAAATATAGAACATCTATTATAGGTGTAAGGTTCTAATTAGTATTGCTGTCTTTTGCATAAATGGAAACCATTAAATAGAAACACTGAAGCCGGGCGTGGTGGCGCATGCCTATAATCCCAGCACTCGGGAGGCTGAGGCAGGAGGATTGCTGTGAGTTCAAGACCAGCCTGGGCTACACAGTGAGTTCCAGGTCAGTCTCAACTACATAGTGAGACCCTGTCTCAAAAAACAAAACAAAACAAAAAAAATAGAAAGACTGAACTTTAAATACTAAATCTAGCTATTTTGACTTACATGTAGGTCAAAGAGACTGTGACAAATGGATTGGAAAACATGGGAGGTAATATGGGAGACATATTTGTTATGTACATATGCTCAGCGCAAGTATCCTTTTTAAATACCTCTCAAGTGTTTTCTACTGTGTGTGTATGTGTGTTTGCGTGTTTGCTAGGGATTGAACCCAGGGCCTGGAGCGTGCTGCCACTCTGACCTACATTCCTACCCAATTTTTTGTGTAGCAGTTCTGGGGATCAGTGCTTTCTGAACATTTTATGTGGGTTTTTGTTTTTGTGTGAGTGTGGTAGGGGGTTACAATCCAGAGGCTTATGCATACTAAGCAAGCACTCTTACCACTGAGCTACAACCTTTTTAATTTTCTTTTGAGATGGTCTCACTGAATTGCCCAGGATGCCCTCAAACTTGAGATTCTCCTGCTTCTACCTCCCAAGTGCTTCTCTATAAAATTGTACTGCAGGTTTCCTTAAATATAGTCATTACTCCACTAGAGTTCAACTTAGTGCTATTTGAGAAGTATTATTTTCACATTCCAAACTATAAAATGTTTCTTTGGCTTTTCAAATAGCTTATAAAAACATGTAAGGATTCAGAAAGTTATTTAGGGCCCAGGTAACTTTTTCAGATTAAATGTTTGTGAAGCATCATAAGATTAGGCAGATTTTCAATATTTAACTTTTTTTGCATAACACAGATTTAGAGTTTATCTTTTGTCATTTTCATTTCAGATAACAGTAATTTTTTAAAATGTTAACTGGTTTGTAACTTTGTTTTACTTGAGTTTTCATGACAGTTTCCTTCTACATTCAATATTAAAATCATTGAACAGCTGGGCATAGTGGTGCATATCTGTAATCCTAGCAATCAAGGGGGTGAGGCAGGAGGATTGCTGTGAGTTGGAGGCCAGCCTGGGTTACATAGTAGGATCCTTTCTCAAAAAAACAAAACAAAATCATTGAAGACATTCTTCAAAGTAATTTTATGTGTTTGAACTCCTGGTAAACAAGTGTGATGGTGTTTTTAGCTTTTTAGATAACCTATTTTATTTTCCTTTGCAGCTGCATTCCAATCCATGATGACAGGAGGTAACATCGGAAAGCAGATAGTTCGCATTTCAGAAATTTCTTTGTAATCTGTTAACTTCTTCATCAAAGAAATCACATATTTTCTTTTCCATTTTGCACAAAACATTGAAGATATGTTTTAAAAGAACCTAAGAGTACAGAATCAGGCGTGGTGACACACATCTGTAATCTCAGCACTTGGGAGGCTGAGGCAAGAGGATTGCCATGAGTTCAAGACTAGCCTGGGTTACATAGTGAATTCAAGGGTAGTCTGAACTACATAGTGAGGCTCTATCTCAGAAAACCAACCAAACAAACAAATAAACAAAAAAACAAAACCTGTAAGACTACAGATAGCTCCACTTAAATGTGATCATATGTGATTTTTTTTCTTAGTGGCATAACTTAAATCTTTTCTATATCTTCAGTATTATATGCACTTTATATCTAACACATGATTACTTCCAATAATAGATTGAAGCCGACATGATCTGTTTTTCTTTTTTTGTTAAAATATTACAGACATTTTTATCAGAGATTTTGAAACCACTGCAGATTTGGTACAACTGTTAATGGTTCATACACAATAGATTTTTAAAAATTTAATAATATTTAATATACAATAAATATTCTGCTAATTCTATAAGTGAGGAGGCACTTAGTAAATATTTATTGAACTGGAAATATGTGATTCTTTTTTTTTTTTTTTTTTTGGTATCGGGGATCGAACTCAGGTCTTTGCGCTTGTGAGGCAGGCAGCAGAACCACTGAGCTAAATCCCAGCCCTGTGATTCTTAAACTAAACATTGGTATAAGAATAGAATTGGGAGCCAAGTGTAGGCGTGGTGGCACATGCCTGTTATCCCAGCACTCGGGAGGCTGAAGCAGGAGGATTGCTGTGAGTTCGAGACCAGCCTGGGCTACACAGTGAGTTCCAGGTCAGTCTCAACTACATAGTGAGACCCTGTCTCAAAATACCAGAAAAAAAAAAGAAAAAAAAAAAGAAGAGAATTGGAATGGCCATTCAGTGTTGTAGATGGAAAAGGGACTTATAGGCATGCTATGACCAGGCATGATGGAATAAGACATAATCTCAACTACTCAGTAGGCTAAGGCAAGAAAATTCTAAATTTGAGGCCAGCCTCTGCAGTTTGGCAAGAGCCTGTCTCAAAAAATAGCTGGGGATATAGCTTAGTGGTAGAGTGATTGTCTAGCATGCACAAGGCCCTGGTTCAACCCCCAATACTAAACACACATACACACGGGCATGATATGCTCACAGGGGCTGGAGACAGAGTTGGGGGCTTCAGACTTGTGGAACAAGTTTTGGGATAGGGCAGAGGCTTTGGTTGGGAATGATATAAAAAAAAACTGGGATCAGTTGAGAGAGACCATGAGACTAAATTTACATCCAGAAGATGATCTATTTGTGTTTTGCTGAGTAATTTACTGCACAGCTTAAAAAGTATTAATAAAAGCATATCTTTATTTTAGGTTAACAGGCACACTGTCAAATAGTTGTAAAGATGAGAGGTCAAGTAGATCCAAACATCACTTGGAATTTCAGGTAATTAAAGACAAAGGAGGCCAAAGGGGTAGCTCTGGGGTAGAACACTGCTTAGCATGCCAGTGTCCCCATTTCAATCCTCAACAGCAAAATAACAAAAACAAAAGACAGTTTCAGAAAATGACAGGACTGGTTGACAAATTAACCAATGGTTGTAAACAGGAATATTGAAGACCCACTGACTTACCTCTAAATAAATTTTATTCAATTAATTATAATCAGTCTTTTAGAACAATTAGATTGAAGATATTTTGTGGTTACTCTTTCATGCAAGCTTGAGTGTGGTTTTGGGTATTGAGCCCAGGTCCTTCCCACTGAGCTGTATTCCCAGTCCTTCTCTTTGGGACCCAGTCTCATTAAGTCCATAAATTGCCCAGACTGGACTCACCTTTTTTTAGAAACAGACAGGGTTTCCCTATGTAGTTCAGGCTAACCTTAAACTCACTATATATATATATACTTTTTTTTTATATATATATATATATAT